TATACACTTTACACATTCAGATGCCCAGAATTCCAGTACTGTAGTAGAGATCTATTCTTTTACATCCTTCCACTGACAGTCCTCTTTGAAGGGCAAACTCTCAGGCATTGTACATAGCTTGTTTTACACTTTCCCACTAAAGCAGTAGTAACTTGTCAGATTTATTTCCTTCTGCTAGAAGCCTTCCAACTTAACACAAGAGTGACAGAGCACTGGGGGTTGTAAAGGCTCTGAAAAAAGCGGGGGCAGGGGCAGTTCCAAGAACGACATAAAACGAATATCACTTCTTTTTTTCTCTTTTTTTTCCNCTCCACCCACCTGCCCTCCTCCATCCCTCTGACATTCGTCAGTCTGATCTGTGCTTCCAAGGCATTGAATCTATTCTGTTCATCTGTTTATTAAGTTCATTAGATTCCGCATATAAGTGAGATCATGTGATGTTTTTCCTTTCTCTGCCTGGATTATTTCACTTAGCATAATTTTCTCCAGGTCTATCCATACTGTCCCAAAGGGTACAAGATTCTTCTTCTTTACAGCTGCATAGTATTCCATGGTGTAAATGTCCCACAGCTTTTTTCACCCACTCATCTACTGATGGGTACTTGGGCTGTTTCCAGATCTTAGTTATTGTAAGCTGTGCTGCTATGAACATAGAGGTACATATATTCTTTCTGAATAGAGTTTCAGGATTATTAGGATACATTCCTAGGAGTGGAATCACTGGGTCAAAAAGCAGCTCCATTTTTAATTTTTTGAGGAACCTCCATACTGTTTTCCATAGTGGCTGCACCAGTCTGCATTCCCACCAGCAGTGTACTAGGGTTCCCCTTTCTCCACATCCTCACCTTCAAGAGTCGTTTGTTGATTTGTTGATGGTAGCCATTCTTACAGGTGTGAAGTGATACCTCATTGTGGTTTTAATTTGCATCTCTCTGATGATTAGCTACATTGAGCATTTTCTCATGTGTCTCTTGGATATCTGTATGTCTTTGGAGAAGTGTCTATTCAGGTCCTTTGCCCATTTCTTAATTGGGTTGTTTGTCTTCCTCTTGCTGAGTACTATGAGTTCTTTGTACACTTTGGAAATTAGCCCCTTATCAAATACATCTTTGGCAAATATGTTTCCCCAGACCATGGGGTTCCTTTATATTTTGAGGTTGTTTTCTTTGGCTGTGCAGAAGCTTTTTAGTTTGATGTAGTCCCATATATTTGTTTTTTCTTTTGTTTCTCTTGCCCTAGGAAATGTATCAGTGAAAATTTTACTACGTGGGATGTCTGTGACTTTACTGCCTATGTTTTCTTCCAGGATTTTTATGGTTTCGTGACTTACATTTAAGTCTTTTATCCATTTTGAGTTTATTTTTGTGTATGGTGAAAATTGGTGGTCTAGTTTCATTTTTTTGCATGTATCTGTCCAATTTTCCTAGCACCACTTATTGAAGAGACTGTCTTTACTCCATTGGATGCTCTTGCCTCCTTTGTCAAATATTAACTATTAAATTAAATATTGACCATAATGGTGTGGGTCTATTTCTGGGGTTTCTGTTCTGTTCCATTTATCTATATGCCTGTTGTTGTACCAATACCAGGCCGTTTTGATTACAATGGCTTTGTAATACAGTTTGAAATCTGGTAATGTGATCCCTCCTACTCTGTTATTTTTTCTCAAGATGGCTGCAGCTATTCGGGGTCTTTTTTGGTTCCATATAAATTTTTGAAATGTTTGTTCTAGGTCTGTGAAATATGCTGTTGGTATTTTAATAGGAATTGCATTTGGGTAGTATGGACCCAAATTGAATTTATGAATTGCTTTGGGTAGTATGGACATTTTAATGATATTAGTTCTTCCACTTGTTTAAATCTTCCTCTATTTCTTTTTTCAGTGTCATGTAGTTTTCCGAATACAGGTCTTTTACATCCTTGGTTAAGTTTATTCCTAGGTATCTTATTTTTTTAGTTGCAATGGTAAATGGTATTTTTTTTTTAGTTTCTCTCTCTGAAAGTTCATTGTTGGT